TCAGTTGGCCTCCTATTGAAAAATTTTGAGGACCCCTGATATATATAGACACCTGTCGTTCAATAGATGGCTGGGAATTAATGCCAAAGCAGCAGGTAGGCAATAGTAATGACCAGTGTTACACACATAAAAATGCATTTTCTGTCTCTTCATCCTTCATAGCTTGTATACGAATTCTTTCTGAGGTTCCTGGAGTCACCAGACTTCCAGCCAAATACAGCCAAGAAATATATTGACCAGAAGTTTGTATTGTCGGTAAGTAGTTTTCAACTTCCTTTCCACCTTGTGTCACACCATGCTTCACTTTGCACTTTGCACCTAAGTTGAAAGAAAAAATAGTTGTCATTGTGTGGATTCTTTGGCCCTCTCACCAAAGTTCTCTTTCTTAAGAGCCTAGAATTGTTGGAGGGACAAGAAGTGATTAGCTTACAGGAGCAGTTGGTTTCTTAATTGTACTGCTGAGTTGCTTCTTTATTCATTTTATCAATAGTTAAAGGCTCTCAGACTTTGCTTCACTTTCTTTTGCTTTTTGGTTTTCTCTGGATTGTACAACAGCATTAAAGTTTTATCATGTATGATGACTGGAGTTTCTATCTTTGATATGACCTAGATTTACTGCTTTTCTTTGCAGGAAGAGAGTGTGGATTGTTTCTGTAACTCAGCCTTTCTCAAGCTCGTGCCCTCCAGATGCACTGGACTACAATTACGAGCATTTCCCAGTCAGCCATGATGTCTGAGAATGCTGGAAGTTGTAGTCCAATACATCTGGAGGGTATCAGGTTGAGGAGGCTATTGTGTCTTGTTACATGAATGTGTAGTTACCTGAAAAATACATTTTGGAAAAGTTGTGTTGTTGATGGAGTAAAGTTTGATTTGTTGGTGATCAAATGAAACCGATAATGGCAACCACATGGGAAGCAGACATTTCTTCACTTCTGGTTCCACCTGAGTTCCTAGCATAAAGTTTCTTTATAACTGTGTGTTTATGGGCATGTATGTACACAAGTGCTAATCTGTTGCAGCTATTGAAAAAAAAATCCAGTTCATTCATAATGCCAATTCATTTAGCTCATGAACTGGTGTGGGGTGAGTGATTGTGCTGTCCCCAATATACTTATTGCTTGCACTTCCAGTTAACAACCTTTGGGTGCCCTAGGTTGTTAAGGTGACATCCAAGCCTGGACATTCTGGTTTGTTTCAGGATTAAACAACCCAGTGTTAATCCAGCAACAATTTGTAGGTTATTTGTAGTGTAACCTTTTAACTACCCAGAGAATCCGGGTTTGGACATCATGCTGATGACATGCAAACGAAGCAAATCATCAGTTACTGACTGAAAGTGGAGGTGAGGAGTAAGCTGGGAGCAGCCACCCAACAAGATGTTCAATAAGCCATTGTTTAAATAACCCAAGGCTTGTTGTGTTATCCAAACTGTGCCTCAGTGAGAACACAAAAGAGTTACAGGCTTACGTATATACTACCCTGTGTCATTTGGGATTTTCTCCTGCTATGGGCCTTGCAGGCTTTATGCACCAACACCTCCAAGTTGTACTGGACGCTGGTTCAACATGGAGTTCTGTAAATGTGGGACCACAAACAGCCTTGGGACCAGCACACATTGAACCGCCTGGAGCACATTATTATAATAGAGCAAAACAGGTGCCTGCATCATGTTGCAACTGCTGCCTGCACTTGTGGTTAGTGCTCAAGTGCTGAAGTGGGTGTGATGGGAACCGCCTTTCGGATTTGCCCTTGGCGTGTTGGTGCGCATGATGGAGGGCTCATTAAATCCTCCTTCCACAGCTGCTGGACCTGTTTGATAGTGAAGATCCCAGAGAACGGGACTTTCTGAAGACCATTTTGCATAGGATTTATGGGAAGTTCTTGGGCCTGCGAGCATATATACGGCGGCAGATCAACAACATATTTTACAGGTAAATACTGGTCCCAGGCTTTGATTAATCTGTTAGGATTGTTTGTATATGGAGGACTGTACCCCAGCGCAAAGGATTGGGCTGGCCTCTTAATTCCTTAGGTTGGGTGAACAGTTGAGAAATGTTCAGGTAAATGACACAAGGAAATCAGGGAATGTTTTCTGAAGCAGGGGGTGGTTCCAAAAACTTCACCAAAATCCAAGTGTGTATACTCCTTTTTCCATTATAGTTTCCTTGTGGTGTATTTGGCAGAATAAACTCATATTGGGTACAGAACCCTTTGCTAAATATGACTGACCTCTTAGTGTGGGGGTTGTGGACTTGTATGACAAAGACCTTCTGGATGTGCTGTCTCTTTTGTTAGAGGCCTGTGTCCTCAATTGTGAAAGCCATTGTTCAGATCAGGATAGGTCCCCATTACAAGGATAAAATGTGTAACTTGATTTTTAAAGAAACATTTTGGATTCTGATGGCTGTCATGAAATAGGGTTTGTACTTGGTCTAAAAGAACTAATACATAGCTTGGGTCCAGGTGAATTTAAGTGGTCTGGATGCCCTTTATTGTCTTTGCTTGGTGCACCAGCCGCACCTGTTCCTGGACAGGGGCAGCCTGGCCACTGCGATCCTGCACTGGTAACATCTTGTTTAAACGATTATAACAAGCTTTTCGTAGAGCTGCCTTGCAGCTCGTACAGAATACAGTGGCTCAGCTGCTCAGTGGAGCACCTGAGTGTAGACAGACCTGCACTAAAAGAGGTGTGAGGTGTACTGCCTGGCTAGTGGCTGCTGACCCATGCCCATCTCAACAAAGCCCTAAATAACTCAGAACCAGGATATGCGGCTGCCTGACCCCCTCTGTATGTACTCAGCCAACCTCAGGAAGTCTTCAGAGAAGGCTTTATTGGTTGATCTGCACCAAGAGAATGTAGCTGAGTCAATTGCGCCATCCTGGGAGTAGTAGGCATTTTGTCTGTCTGAACTTACATAGACATGTGCCTTCCCTTAGGGTGCAATTCTGTGCATGTTTAGACAGAAGAAGGCCTACATTTCCCAGTTTACCCTGCCAATCAAACTGGATGGGGGATGCTGGGAGCTAGAGATTTTTTCCTGTCTGAACTTGCATAGGACAGTGCCCTTAAGCTACTGAATTCCTTGTTAAGAAACACTGAATGACATTTGTTGGTTTACTCCAATCATGGAAGCAGACTAAGGTAAGCTAATGAGTTGCAGTTCCCTGGAACAGAATGCACATCTTGTCTTCCTTTGGAGGCAGCATCATATGACCAACTTCTCAGTTGCCTGCAGTTTGTGCTTGACACTGATTCCTTTTTACTCCAGGTTTATCTATGAAACAGAGCACCATAATGGGATTGCAGAACTGTTAGAGATTTTAGGGAGGTAAGGACTTTCCCTTCCCTTCCTATTCTGTAGGAGTCTTTTCATCCAGGGGTAGGTGGTGATTGCCCTGGCCGTTACATGAGGTTTCCATATTTTTTCATGCTGCTAAATGTCTGATTGCTGGGAGCTTTATCATGTTTCCTGCATGATACCCTGTGGGCTTTAGGGAAGAGTGTTTGTGTACATTCACACCACACAAGTACATAGACACATGACATGCACACAAATACATATGAGTTCTGGATGTTGACAGTCTTTCTACTCTCTTCAGTATTATCAATGGATTTGCTTTGCCCCTGAAAGAAGAGCACAAGATGTTTCTCATCCGGGTCTTGCTGCCATTGCACAAAGTGAAATCTCTGAGTGTCTATCACCCTCAGGTAAGTAAGCAGGTCATTCTGTTAACATGTTTTGGTTTTGACAATGAACATTATTTTTAGCTATGCTGTATCTGTTAATCATGTTGATAAAAGTTGCTTTGGGTCTTTTTAAAAAGAAAGGTGAGTAAGAATTAAAAAATGAGGCTAACAACAGCAGCATAGGAGATCCATTGTGTCTGTCCCATAATAATGGATAGGCTTGGTCTCTTTGATCTGTCTTTGTTGTTACTTCATGGTTTTTTGGAGTTTCTGTGTGCTGGCCAGCTTCATAACACTGATTGTAATACTTACTATCCCTCTTTCCAGTATCTTCTCCCTTACCCTCTTGTTAACGTGATAGTTCTTAACATCAAAACTACCATGAGGACATTAGCTACATCAGAGGAGCTTTGCTGGATCAGACCAAATACACATCTCGTCCTACATCTTGTTTCCAACACTGGCCAACCAGATGTACCTGAGCAACCCACAGACAGTACATAAGGGGGATAATTCCCCACATTGCTTCCCCCGTTCTGTCTGGTGCTATTCCTGCCTCTAAAGCCAGAGGTTTCATATAGCTACCATGACTAGTAGGCATAGATAGCATTGTTCTCCATGAATTAATCGAATCCGCTTTTAAAGTGCCCTACATTGGCACCAGCTTCCATAGGTTGGCTCCAGACTTGCCTTTCCATGAAGACCTCCTCCTGTTCACAGAAGGGGGCAAGATCCAGTAGAGGCTACCACTCAAGGGGAGGAGACCACAGGATCTAGTGAAGGCTGCCAATTTGAATGACTTGAAAAAGAAGTTGGACAAAGCCAAGGAGGGAAGGTTGTAAATAGCTGTTATTCACAATGCCAATATATTACTGCTGGTTTCAGAAGCATTATACTCATCAGTTGCTGGGAAACAACAGATAGGAAGGTGCTGTTTAAATCCTGTCCCTCCTGTGGGTTTCCCATTGGTGGAGCTGGTTCGCTACTGTGTGGACAGAATGTGGAATAAAATGGACCTTTGATCTGATCCAGTATGGCTCTTCTTACTTCCTTATGAAAAAGGGTTTCATTTATTTTGCCCCTGTAGCTCCTAGCACCGCTGCCTGTGTTGTTCTGGAGGGTCTCGCAACCAGATGGGGTGGGGACACACAGGGAGACCCTGTAACAGTTGCCTACTCCAGTAAAGCTTCATGTGGGTGGGGATCCACCAGTGAGTAGTCTAGTTTGAGCCCTGTCAGCTAATTATATATGGCATGAAGAAGGACTTCCCCTCCATCTGTCCTGCATATACTACCCAACAGTTTCATTTGGTTTTCCTGAACTGTTGTGTAATAAGGGGAGAAGCAGGATAGGAGTGGGAAATGCTCCATCCATTTTTTCTCCAAATGATTCATGATTTTAGAAGCCTCTATTGTGTTCCTGTGTTAGTCATTCCGCCCCCACCCCCCAAACTAATAGCTTCTAGTATTTTAACATTTTCTCATGGGGAGCTTTTTTCATTGCAGCAAATTGACACTTCCACTGAGTTATCCACTGGATTTCTTTCCTAGTCAGTCTCATTCAGTGTATAAACAGAATTTAGGATCTGTCCCCACTGCACATCCTTTGACACTTTGCTTTACACTTATACTTCCCGTGTACTTGTCTGAGTCTCTTAATTTTGAAATAACCTTTTTGGAGCTCTTTGTGACCCATCTGAGTTTTCACCATCTTGAAAAAGTGGCATACTTGCTGCTCACCCCATGATTCCATACCATTTTGTGATCCCTGAAAGTTAAAAGGTGCTATTCGCAATTCAGATCCTGGGAGAACCCCTTGCTTGTTTTTGCGCATTGCAGGAACTGTTCGCTTACTCTCATTCTCTCCTTCCTCTTCGTAACCCATTACCCTTTTCCAAGTGACTGAGGAATCTCTGGAAATGAGGCATTTTAGTCCTAAACATTAGCCCAGTTGGCCTTTTTATGTTAAGATTTAGAGAAAATTTTCTCTGGGTGATATCCAATTGATAGTAAGAGACTTTGCTCAGAGGGGGTAGAGGTTTGGGACCAGAATATGTGATCAGTTGACCTAAAAACCCATGTACAGTGTGAACAGATGCTAATTTATACAAAAACAATTCCCACTGAATTCCAAGGAACACTCAAATGCACAGAGGATTGCAATGAGAGTTTGTGGCTGGGATGGAGCTGGCTGGGAGTTGTAATCTTTGGGCAGACCTGCTTCCATTTATTTATATCCTGCTCTTCCATGGAAAGAGCCCAGATGTGCCCTCTAACAGAAAGGCTAATTCCACATGCCTTCCCCAACCAGCCTCCTCCAACCAGCCAATCCCCCCCAGATGTGTTATACTGCAATTCCTATAATTCCCAGCCACTGTCTGGAGGGCTCCAAGTTGGGAAAGGCTGCTCTAGGCTCTCTGTCTGCCTTTATAATTTCCACCATAACTGAAACTCTGACTCTGCTGTGCTCTTCCTGTAGTTGGCATATTGTGTTGTGCAGTTCTTGGAGAAAGATAGCAGCCTGACAGAACCAGTAAGTATGTGACCATGTGATGCTAGGATTATTGTAATGCACACTGTGTTGGGTTGCCTTTGACAGACATTCAGAAAATGCAACTGGTAAGGAATCCTACTGCAGTCAAGAAGTGGTTATTCAGAGCTTCCTATATACCAATAGCAGCCTTGAATGCCATTTTTCTTGGTAGAAGGGAGGAGTAGAAAGCAATCTGTCAGTAAAGAGCATACTCATTCTTGGTGCACCAGCCTTTATGTAGCCAAAACGGTGCAACGTGCACACAAGATGGGAGCATTGCCAGACTTTAGAAGGCTTAAAGGTGTACAAATTAACTTGAATGTGGGGAGCCACCAAGAACTTGGTGATGGGAATCCCTGCAACCCAGTGAGCTGACTAGGCTAAGTGGACTGATGACTGTCAGGAGCTGAGAAGAGACAGAAAACTGGAGGATGCAGGGTAATGAACCAGGAATACTTAGAGAAGGGTATGGTACATTAGGCTCCTTTTTGGAAGTTATTTATTTGATGCCATTTTTATACTAGTATTATTTATTTACTACAGAAGATGTTAATTATAAAGTGCTTGAGCACCATGTCATATGGCAGAAAAAAGCATATAAATTTTGTAAATAAGGAGATAAATTGATTAGTTACTCACAGACCAAAACATCTCTACATAGCTGTTAACCTTCGCAAGATCATATATTGATAACTGAGTGGCAAATTCATCAGACTGCATGAGGAGCAGGAAGCTGCCAGGGTCAGGCTGGGCCCAGATGTGAGATCAGTTGTTTGAGCTAAACTCTGAAGTGCAGAGCGCAGAATGTACTAGGCAAAAGTAGACTAAGTTCTAGCATTTCTATCCAATCTGGTCAGTCCAGGGTCTTTGTAATGTCTGCATCCCTTTCTTTATAGAAGGGTTGCCTCTCTCTCAGCTTGAGGACAGAGTTTGATTCTAGCCATGCTCTTGGGGGCTGGGGGTGCATTCCAGAGGTGGGTTGAGCTGAAGGCAGATAGGGGATCCAGAGGCAAAAAGAGGTGGAGTCAAAATCCCCAAAGTACCAGCATGTTTTAGCATAACCCTCTTACTGCCTTTGGAGAAGCTTGTCAACTTTTTAGAATGGGGGTGTGGGGACAATGATAGAGAAACCACCAAATTATTTGTGGAATGGGAAAAAAGGAAGAGGGTCCTCTGGGGAATTCAGAAAGGACAGAGTTGTTCAGTGCCCCTGCTTATTTCATCATGTATTTGAAAAAGATGCAAATATGGACAATCTAAGAGACTTGAGGCACGATCCTGTGTCTGTTTGGGCAGAAGAAAGTCCTATATCTCCCAGCACAAGGGGCAAGCTGGGAAGTGCAGACCGTTTTTCTGTCCAAACACGCATAGGATTGTACCCTAATTATATTTTAAAATGTTTATTACCTGGGGTAGATGATGGCTTTAGTTGGATTTTTCCCCACTTAAAATGCAGTAGGGCTGTGTCACCAATCACTGTGCCTCCTCATTTCTCTAATATTTGCAATGTGCTTTCTGTTCAGGTGATTGTGGGTTTGTTGAAGTTTTGGCCAAAAACACACAGTCCTAAGGAGGTTATGTTCCTGAATGAGCTGGAAGAAATACTGGATGTCATTGAGCCCTCTGAGTTTGTGAAGGTTATGGAACCTCTGTTTAGGCAGCTGGCAAAGTGTGTCTCCAGCCCACACTTCCAGGTGGGTCCAGCACTCAGAGGGATGGCCACAGCTCTAGTCTCTGTTCATATGCAGAGGGAAGCCCTCGGGACTCGTCCGAGCACAAAGTAGGCCTCGCTGCCCTGTGAGTCGTAGCAAGTGATGTTATGAAGTTCATAAGAACATAAGAGAAGCCATGCTGAATCAGACCCAAGGCCCGTCAGCTGCCCACAGGATCCTGCAAGCAGGACATGAGCACAACAGCACTCATGATCCCCAGCAACTGATATGTGTAGGCAGACTGCCTCTGATTCTGGAGGTAGCATTAAGCCATCAGGACGAGCAGCCATCAGTGGCCTCCTCCATGGATTTGTCCAGGCCTCTTCTATAGCCATCCAAAGGGGTGACCATCACTACATTTTGTGGAAGTGACTCCCATAGTTTAACTATGTGAATAAGGACTTCCTTTTCTCTGTCCTGAATCTCTTGCCAGTCTGCTCCATGGGATGTTCCCTGTGGGCTCTGGTATTATGGGGGAGAGAGAAAAGTGTCTCCCTATTCAGCTCCTCCATGCCTCATGTAATCCCATACACCTCTGGCATGGCTTCCCCCACATGCCCTTTCTCTAAGCTAATGAATTCCAGATTTTGTAGCCTTTCCTCATAGGGGAGTTCCCCTTGTCTGCACTTTTCCCAGCTCTCCAATATCCTTTACGTGTGTTCCTGCCCTTTGTTCATGCACCTATCCAGGTTTGGTTTTTTGGACTAAGATGAAACCAGTTTGGACCTAACAAGATACTGATTCTAATTGCTTTGGATGAGAAAAGAAAGGAGGGGCCAGATATGAAAACATTCCGTTAGGTTCAGATGCACGACTCACAATAGGCAACAGTAAAAATGCCAAAGTGCTGCCCTTTATAAGAATTGTTTATTTCATAAGCATGTCTCCCCCTCTATTTATACAGGTGGCAGAGAGGGCGTTGTATTATTGGAACAATGAATACATCATGAGTTTGATCAGTGACAATGCCGCCAAAATACTTCCTATCATGTTTCCAGCACTCTACAAGAATTCCAAGAGTCATTGGAACAAGTATGTCAGTTCTATGTTCATTTGGGCATAAATGAAATTACAGAGCTCCGGCTTGCTCTTCCTCTGGAGGCTGTTGATGCTGATGCTGTGTGAATGCTAATGCCACCTTCTGTTTCTCCTCTTACATATTTGGCCTGGAGAGAAAGAGAAGCGCACCAGTGGAAGTTGCTACAAATAGAAATATGCAAGCGATTACACAAAAGAAAAAATCTAAATAGGCTGCAGTCCCTTCACTTGCTCTGTTAAATAGGACCCTTTACAGATTTGTGGATCATTTTCTTGGTTCTGTGAGGGGTGGAGGGTGTTCTGGCATTTGGAGCTGCTCTGAGTCTTGCTTCTTTTTTTATATCAGGTATGGGGGTGTTCACAGTGCTGATTACTCAGTCACTTCCTTGGAGAGAGCAGTTTTTCAGTTCTGACCCAAGGTGTTCTGGAATCAGTTTAATTTATGCTCTATCACTTCTGTCTTGCACAGGACAATCCATGGGTTGATCTATAATGCACTGAAGCTGTTCATGGAAATGAACCAGAAGTTGTTTGATGACTGCACACAGCAGTACAAGGCAGAGAAACAAAAGTGAGTTGTCTGGCTGGAAAGACTCAGCCCACAGTTAATCCTAGGGATGCTGAGGCCCTCCTTCTTGGTAGCAGTTAACAGCAAAGAGAAAAAGGCTGTGCCAGGTATCCCAGAGCCTCTTAAAGGAAGACATCATATGCCACGTATTGATATGGAGGAGGAAATTAGAATTTCTGAACCAAAATAAAGAAGGAGCCAAGGAGTACAATGACTGAGAAATGCAGCCAGTGATAGGAAACTGTGGGAACACTGGATTGCTTGGAAATAAAAGGAGATACACAAGATAATGCAGATATTTGTTGGCTGCCTTCTTGGGCACAGCCCTCACAAGGTGACTGTCATACAGTAAGCATCCAGCATAATCCCAAAGTAATTTCAAAATGTTTGCATAGAAGCAATATATTGGCCAGGTTCATTTTTAAAAGATGTCTGCATTAAGCAGCTTAAAAAACAATTTCAGTCCTGCATCATTCAAAGGCAGCCCCATTGCCCCAGTCCTCGCCCTGCGTGCCCTTCCCTTTGTGCATTTTTTCTTATTCTAAAAGTAAGTGCTTCTAGTTGCAATCTGCTGATATTTTTGGCCATGGTCCTTTTGCCCTGGCCTCTTTAGGCCTCACCCACCAGTAAAATGCACCCCCTGAAGCACCACCAAAATGGCATGAGTCCTGAAAAAGATCTATACTTACGGCTTAGGCTTAGAGTTAAGTCCTTCCGGAAGGAGCACCAAAACACCATGCAGTCTAAGCCTAGCCCAGCAAGATGGCCTAGCAGGTAACTATAGCATGTGGTGTAGAAAGCCACTGAGGAGTATGGAAGAATTAATTGGAACCAGCCCAGATAATCAATATCTTCGCAGTTCACCCAGGCAGTGTCCAATAGTGGCTTTATGCTAGCAGAAAACACTTAAACCCTATCTTATCTGTAGTCAGTTTTCACAGTAAATGGTATAAACTAGCCTTCCTTGAGTGCAAGTATGTTCTGCTACTGCAGGGCTGGATAAATGGTGGCCCTCCATGTATCTTGGACTACAACTCCCATCCTCCTTTGCCATTGGTTAGCCTGGCTAGGTCTGGTGGGAGATGTAGGCCAAAGCATCTGGAGGGGCACAAGTTGCTCACTCTTACATTAGTGAGAGGTTGTCCTTGAGCAACAATCCCTTGACCCAAGCCACTGCTGTATCACCTGAACTCAGACTGCTTCCCCCAGCGTGGCTTGTTCTGGGGCAACAAGCTGCCCTGACAAGTCTGAGGTTGTTTAACTCACAATAAGCTGGCATGTCATCTGAGCAATTCTATTGTGGGCCAGAGGGATGGACCGGTGAGCCGCTAGATGAGCGTGTCAGAAAATACTGCCACTCTTCAGCCTTTCCACTGACAGCAGAGTGGTATTGTGGAGCAACCATCACTGGTTCACAATAATTTTTTCCAGACCCAGAAAACTGGATAATTGTGTTCCTTATTTTTATTTGTTCATTGTTGGTCTTTCACAGGTGTGGGGAAGCGCCATCATGGCTTTCTGATGTGAGAAGTCTTGCCTTGTAAATTTTCTTGCCTGTTTTCAGCTGTCAAAGGGAGCAATGAAGAGCAACAGGAAAAAGATTTACATTTTTAATTGTCAGGAATATTTGCTCTTTTTTGTGGGGATTGGTAAAAATGTAATTTAGTGACTAGGAAGACCATTTCCTTCCAGCTTCTTAATGCATGCAAAATTCTCCCTTATTTACTTCCTAGGCATTAAATCAACATCTATTTCTCCAGGTTTTTTAAATTATTGACAGTGAGCAGCAGCAGTAAGTGCTCTGAAAAGGAACCCTGAAAAAGGGGATGAGGCGAGTCTTACTGTCTTCTCTTGCAGGACAGCCAACAGACTTGGGGAAGTGTTGAAAAGGTGGGGGACACTAAAAGATGTCAGTTCCAGAATTAAAAGCCAGATGATCCGTCCGTCCATCCATCCATCTGTCCTTTTGGGTGCACAGTCTTTTTCCAATTTCTCATCTTTTCAGTTGAAAGCTAGGCAATCAGTTGCAGACAACTTAAATTTGTTTTTATGACATGTGAGCCTGCACCTTGTCAACCTCTTTCGTATTCCATTTCTCTGTTCCCTTGGACAGCTGAAACAGATTGACCAGAAAAATCTTCTCATATCAGACAGCCATAGGTGTGCTCCTGTGCACTTATGAAACAGCTACAGAGATGATGATGATGATGAAATGAACATAATTGCACAAAAAAGTTGAGAGACCTAACTATGCATTTTGAGGCTTTGAAACAAATTGTAGTGAACAAAAAGGAGTAGCAGTATGAGCAGAGAGTAGGGAGAAACTATCGATTTTGTTGCAAAGGATATTGAGATACCAACTAGAGAACTGAAGGGGAGAGAAAAGGGAAGGAGAAGGAGGCATGGAGTACTTGAGCACCTGTCCAGTGCATTTTGGTTCCTCTGCAAACAACCCACCCTCCGTAGCTTATTCGCAGGATGGCCTGGTATGATGTGTGAACCTGCACATTGTGTGCAGCCCTTTGTCCTTCTGTTCCCCCACTGGGAAAATGAAACTGCAGTCTTTTGCACACTTTTCTGAGAAATAAGCACAATGAGACTTATTTGTAAATAGCAATAAGAGAGAATTTTGGGGCATCTTCAAGACTCAATGGACTTATCATGGCATAAGCTTTCAGCGACTAGTTATTACTTCAGGGTAAACATGTAGGCACACGTCATCCTCATGAAAATTGCCAGGCTTAAAAGCTTAACTGTACTTGGCGTGCCTGATTCTGCGAAGACTGACATTCTGTGCATAGGAGGAACTGACGTATGAGGTCCTACTACAGGGCCTTGAGTTGAGTTCATGAATGAGGCAGGGCTCTTTGGGACTGCAGCTCAAATAAGATTGCAAGGCAGGGAAGAGAATGAACTGGGGGTTTATGTCCTTAGTACAAGGATAAGGCTATCAGGGCTAACAGTCGTGGCAGCTGTACATCACCTCCAGTATCAGAAGTTATCTGTCCAGTGAGGAGTGAGTAGGATGGTGCACCAGCCCTTGCGTCCTGCTTGTGGGCTTCCTGTTGGCGATTAGTTGACCATTGTGGGAACAGAAGGCTGGGCTAGAGAAGGCTTTGGCTTGATCCAGCAGGGCTTCCATTTTGGAAGGTGTGAGTTACGAGAACGGGCTGTTTCATTTGGGTGTACAGGGAAGGGTTAACTGTGTCCTCTGAGGAAGCATTGGAAGGGGCTTATGTAGAGCCTGACCTTTGCTCCATCAAGCCTGGCCTTGTCCACCCTTACTGCAGCAGTGGTTCTCCAGAGCTTCAGGCAGGAGATGTTTCATTCCTGCCTGCAGATGCCCACAATCAGACTGCCTGCAAAGCAGCTGCTCTGGCCCTGAGCAGTGATCCTAGACTGGTCAAGGACTTCCTTCCTTCTATGAGATGTGTGGGCAGAAATCAACAGCAGAGAAAACCAAAAAGGCAGAGAAGACGAGTCTTTTCACCTATGTATCCTGTCAATATCTACAACAAAGAATTGTAGGGCAATGTAAAGATGAACAAGTCAGTTTTGGCCCAGGTTTTTGTGGATTGTGTCCACTAAATTTAGGACAAAATTAACATGTTCACCTTTAAAGTGTTAGCAGAGACTTTGATGTTTTGCTGCAACAAACTAGCAGGTTGCTTCGCTGGAAACTGTCCATACATTTAATATAGGGCAATTTGAGACTATTTTTCCAGGCATTTTATAATTTTTTTTGGCCTGAATGCTAGAGGGATGATGGGCTAAAAGGATAAATGAAAAACATATTTCTTTCTGTCTTCAGAGGGCGATTCAGGTTGAAGGAACGAGAAGAAATGTGGCACAAAATCGAAGAATTAGCCCGCCAAAATCCTCAGGTAACCATTATTTTCAGCAGATGTTCTGCAAGTGTTTTCACACTTTTGCTTTCTTAGCTTACAAGAGCACATACTGTTACTACGGCAACTACCATGATTGGTCCAGTGGGTCATATTGATCTAGCACCTGGATTTAAATCTCTACTTGGCCTTGATTTCATCGCATGGCCTTGGATGGATTGCTGTCGGCTTCCGTTTCCCATCTGTAAAATGGGAATAATAGTCAGATGGAGATTATTATAAAGGACAAAATGAATAGTTACCTCTTCCTTTGGGAGGCTTACTGGATTCAGTAAATACGCCTCTTTAAAGAGCTTGCTAAAATACAAACTGACAAAGTAGAATCCAAGTACCAACTAACTTTTTTCATCACTATTTTCTCAGTCATTTGAGAAGACTCTTCTCATTTTGAATTATGACACTCTTTACAAGTGCCATCTTAATTCTTGCTTTGATATATCAAAGGAACAAACTCAGGAAGTGGCCGGGTTCTCATGATTACAGAAGGGGAAATAAGCCCTGGTGGCTTATGTCCCCTCCATGCCCATGGAACCCAGGCCAATAAGTTAAGCCCTTAGCCCATCTAGACGCTTGTATTGTTGACAGTGACTGAGAGCTGCTCTGTAAGGTTTCCTGTTGGAGTCTTTCCAGCCCTACCTGGAGCTGCTAGGGATTGAACCTGTGACCTTTTGTGCACAAAGCAGGTGCTCTAGCATTATTTTGTGATCCCTCCCTGAAGTATTGAACCACTGAAATAGGAAATATGATGGTGCTCTTCAAGCACTTGAAAATTGTCACTCAGAAGTAGTTCAGGATCTCTTTTGAATTGTCCCAGAGTGTAGGATGTGGAATAACAGGCTCAAGTGACAGGAAGCCAGGTTCCAGCTAAACAGCATGAAGAACTTCCTGACTGTTAGTGCAGTATGGCAGTGGAACCAATGACCTAGGGAAGTTGCTGGTTCTCCACATTGGAAGCATTCAGGATGCATCTGGACAGCCATCTGAGAGGGATGCTTTAACTTGAAGTCCTGCATTGAACAGGGGGCTGAATCAATGGCCTTCTGGACCCCTTCCAACCCTGCTATTCTGTGATTTTACAAAAAGTGATTGTATGTAGCATAAATGTACTTGTAGTTTGCCCAACCTCTGAATAAGAAATTTGCCACACCTTTGAAGTATTACTGTGTTGAGAGAGCTGTTTATCAACGAAGCAGCTCTCTTATCATCAAGCTGGAGTAAATGTAGAGGGCATCTTCTTTTGTCTATCATGTCAGAGATAGACAAACCTGAAAACATTTCGAGAATTATAATATTAATCTTGTATAGTTGTATCCTTGTATCTGGGGTTTGTGCTGATCCCCAGTGTGTATTTCTATAGGGCCAGGGTGGGCAACTGGGGGGCCACCCCATCAACCAGGGGCCATATGTACACAGACTTGTTGGTGCCAGGAGTAGAGAGGAAAAAGAGTGGACGGAGGTGGCAGGGGCACTACAGAGTGCTAAAAGGATCGACATTGCCTTGTTTGCAGGCTAAATTTGACCCTCTGGGCTCTCCATAGTACAATGGATGCCATTTTCCCTCATATTAAAAAGATCCTTCCAGTTTCCTAAGGGCTTGTATACATCCTTCATGCACTTTTTGCTTAAATTCAGAATGTCCTGGTGAAACACTTCTTTATCTATTGCTGCACCAAGATAAAATGGGTGCTATTTTGTTCAGTAGGAATTTCTGCCATGATGGGGGGCCATTGAGAGCTCCCAGCACCTTGGTCATCCTGCATTTTACTGTTTATTTTCACCTTTTTTGTGGGGTTTGACATCAGTGTTATTTCAATGAAACCCTCAGATTAGAAGGAGAGAACAGAATCCACAAACTTGTGGGCATTTGCAACATCACAGAATAACCCCTTTTATTATTGTAGGTGAATACATGGAATATGAAAGTGACCCAGATTAGGAAGAATGGTTCTTAGCTTTGTATTCCTCATGCCATTTTGTAGAAGAGGGCTGTAAGCTTTTGTGGGGGGGGGTCAGGATCCTAGCGAGCCAACCTTGGGGACCTATGTATATACGTTAAACATGTTGGTGTTTCAGTACTTGAGTTGCTGAGCTTGCATTCCCATTTTTCTGTGTGCTGTGTTCCTGCAGTACCCCATGTATTGCGCTCCCCCACCTTTGCCTCCTGTTTATTGCATGGAGACGGAGACCCCCACTGCAGAGGACATACAACTACTGAAGAAAACGATGGAAACAGAGGCTGTGCAGGTGACTCATCTCTATAACCCCAGTGGCTCTGGGGATTTTCTATAGCACATGGTTCTTGGTAACCAGTGGAATTCCTCCTGAATGAGCAAGCAAGCTCTGACAGAGAGCTTGTCATCTGTCTCTGCAGAGAGGCCAGGTGTATGAACAGGCTGGCCGCATGTGCTTCTCCAAGAGAAAGGTCAGGAGCCTGATCGAGAACAAACCTGGCTTGGTGCCAAAGAAGGGAAGGTGTAGCTCCCCAAACATGAGGGCTTCTGCACACAGATGCTTGTGGAAGCTGCAGCATGCATGAGGCTAGTTTACAACCTAATCATAAAATTGTGGATGAATTGTAAGCCATGCTCACATTTCTTAGCAGGGGAGCATCCCATGTCAGAGAAACCCACCCCTGGTTCTTACGCAGGCACATTTCTTCAAATTGGCTTTTGGAAAGACAGAAACAGCAACTTCTTCAAGAATGGTGAAATTGCAAAATTTCACTGAAATGCACAATTAGAAAACAAATCTTGAGAAGCTGAGAGTAGAGACTCACTTGGAACCAAATTCCCCTTTGTGTGAAAAGATAGAATCAGCAGGGTAGATGAGAAGCAAGAAGGAAACAGTTAAATCAACTTAACGGCGTTTGTGGTCACACATTTTACTATCTCAGCACCTTCCAACCCACCAGCCTTTCAGAGGGACACGCATGGAACTGTGTGGTCAGTGGTCCCTTAGCAAACTGCAGTATGTTCAGGCCAGCATCCAGGTCAGCAGGGTTGGGTATCCACAAGAGTCCTTATGCTGGCAGGCAGACCATCCCTGAGACTGCTGCTCTTTTTGAGCTCAGGGACTGCTGCTCCTGGTACGTCACCTCTTCTCCCACCACCCCACTGTGCTCACCCAGCCCCTGTGTATTAATTTTCTTGCATATACATTATCACATCTGAGTTTAGGAAGTACTTGGGAAAGTTACTGTGTATCTTCTCCCTGTTGAGGCCCTTCAGAAGTCCTCTTTCTTGCCAGGATGGCTCGCCTGCTGATTCACTTCTCTAAATGTGAGCTGCAGGTTAATTCTGCAGAGCTTAATGTAGAGGAGCAGAGCTGTTTTTGTGTTTGACCTGTACCATCACAGTTTCCTTTCCTGGCCAGGAGGGCAGAGGGAAGAAATACGTTTTTTCTCCGTGGATGTTTTTTACTGTTGTGTCTTATGCACAAGAAATTGGGATCCTAGCATAGTTTTCTGAGAGTAAGTGTCGTTGAAGTCGGTGAGACTTCTCTGTAGATGGACATGCATTGGGTCATGCAGACTATGTGTGAGCCAGTGCGAGGTGTATTTGCTTCTGGGCCTTGGTGTTCCCAGTTTGTGAAAGAGGCCTTACAAGTAAAAGCAAGATCATATTACTTTGGTTTCTCCACCCAGATTCACTTACTGGCCTTTCTGCTCGCTTGCCTGCCAGCCTCAGTGTTCCTATTTGTAAAATGGGATTGTTTGGAGATCGTCTTGTCTTCCACATGCTGAATTCCATTATACTTCACTGCATGTGTGTGTGGACTCGTAGTCTGTGGCTTGGCTCATGCTGTTACCAGCTTTGTGTGCACTTCAGTGGTTCTCAGTGGAGTACTGCCACAGTCTTATGTTGTGATATCTGGGGATCTGACATCATGTGCTCATAGTATTGCTTGGTGGCAGGTGCTGCATTAGGAAAAGCCATGGCTTTCCATGGTGCCATGGAAATGCCACCCTAGTCCAGAGATGGACTATCTGTGGCCCTCTGAATGTTGGACTGCAGTTCCCATCATCCTTGACCATTGGTCATGCTAGCAGGAGTGGATGGACTTCATCCTTTACCAGCTCCAAGCAGCAGGGCCAGTGGTCAGAATGGCCTAACAGTAGCCCAACAGGCTGGAGGGAATTGAGCTAGTGAGGGCTGATGCGGAGGGGCACTGGTGGTCTGCACACGTTGGCTTAGCTGGATGAGCAACTGCTGTACTGAGCTGTTTTGCTTCACGAAATTGTTGTCTAGAGTCATCATCCCAGGATAGAGACTGGGCACAGAGGTTCATCAGACAGGTGGCATGGCAGCCTCTGGGGCAGGCCCTGCTTAGGCTCAACTTGGCATTCCTATCCAGTAGACCTTAGGTAGCCCAGCCCAAAAAAGGAGTGTGACATTCACGCAGAGAAGTACACCGAGAAATTGCCTGCTGACATCTTGTGGGTTTGTGTCTAGGTGCTGAAAGACATGAAGAAGGAGAAGGTTTTGCTACGCCGGAAATCGGAGCTTCCTCAGGATGTCTACACCATAAAGGCCCTGGAAGCGCACAAGAGAGCGGAAGAATTTCTCACCTCAAGCCAGGAGGCGCTCTGACGGGCTAGGGAGCCCCTGGAGGGTACACAGAAATGCACTTTGTTCTAATGTATAACTAGGGAATGAACATGGTGAGCTGTGCCTGTCCTCCGCTCCATTCTCATTCTTTCAGGTTAGATTTGATTTTACATTGTACCTCATAGCCCACCACACTGTCACTTCCTCCTGCTTTATCCTCTTAAGGCTGTGTTTTGTGTGCACGTGTGAAGGAGCCTAGCCAATCCATGAGAGCATCATTCCACACGTGGGGATCCGCCCAGTTCCTGCTGTGTGCGTGCGCGTTTTTATCTACTCCAGTCCCAGGACCAAACCATTGAGAGCTCAACCACTTATCAGCCATACGTGACACAACAGTTTCACTAGAGCATTTCAGCACTTCTTTTACCCCCTTTTACCCCACTGTGCACAACCACGCGATGTGTGTAACAGAAGCTTTACATGAAATTGGCCGAGCAAGTTGATGCAGGCCATTTTCTAAGGTTTAAGGCAGGCTTGTTCCTTGGGGACCAGGCTAGATTTGGGAACAATGTATTGCCTGCCTTCCCTCCCCTCCCCACAGAATGAATGAATTCGACTTGTTTCGATCAATGTAAATAAAGGGCAGTCATTTGCACTGTCCCCTCAATCTTGTGGTCAGTGACAGCCATATGTGGTTCTAGGTGCATTGGTTTGGGCAGTGCTTTCAGCTCTGTGGTGGTCTTCATCTTCCTTGATGCAGATGAGCAGTACCTTTCTGTAGATGGTAGCTAATAATGCAGCTGCTGAATGAGCCTTCCTTAATGGTCTGGTTCTCTCTCTCTCTCAGCTAGAATTGGTGCAAGTGTGGATGTCTGAAGCGGACTCTCTTATTTATACTAAGCTTCCTTTCAGCTGTGAGTCTTTAAACTCTGAAGAATGACTGCTTAACAGCAAAACTTATTAAACACTATTACAAATGGATTTAAGCATTTTGCATACTGGGAGCAAGGGAAAAAAACTAGGCCAGGCTTCCACAACCTGGTGTATTCCCAATGTTCCCATCAGTCCTGGCCAGCATGATCAGTGATCAGGGATGCTGGGAGTTGTAGTTCAGAACTCTGGAGAGGACCAGTTGGGAATGACTGATCTAGCCAGCAGTAGTCCTTTGTTACGGGTAAGGTCTTACTGTAGTCATGTTCATTTTGGCTGTTTTAATCAGGGAATGAGAAGTAACAGAGGCTCCTTTTAGGAAGTACACATCAGACTGCTTTCCTCGAGCTAGTAATTGGGAGAGTTGTTTAATGTGCTGTCATTGCTCACAGGCTGCAGATTAAATTCCTGGACCATGGAACATAACTAAAGGGTGTTCATGTGTAATCAGTTTCATACTGACAAGATCCTTCAGTTTAACTTTGGGAGATCCTGCCTGTAGATCCTCCAATTTAGCTTTGGGAGTCCTGTCTACAGAAGCTCGTCAGTGTCTAGTTCCAAGCTCTTTATTGCAAGCCTAAATGCGCTTATTTGGAAGTAGATGCCATTGAAATTAATTGATCATCAGAGAAAGCATAATCTAGGGTCAAACTGTGTGCCTGCATAACACCCTTGCCCTTGTTCAACCCTTCATACCACCTAACTCCTTTGTTTATTTACCTCCCCTACACCCATTTTATTTTTTATTCCTTCTGTACCTTGGGCAATTGCAGTTCCCTGCAATCTAATTTTTTAGTTGCCTTAAGGATACCCTACTCTTGGTTCACCTGCTCAGTGGTCCTTTTAGCCCTTAGCAGGCTAATCAGTTACCACTGGGCAGGTGGGAATTTGTGAGTTATTCACACAGTGTTGCATTCTTTGCCTGCAAATCATAGTTTACACAGGAATGTACCTACTCGCTTTAAGCAGTAAGACATGGCTGATAAATGGTTATTAATACAGCTAGTCCATCGATCTCAAGTTGGACCTACTACAAAACACTGACGTATGGAATGTTCCTATTCAGTAGCCTCTTTAGGGTACTGCATTCTGTTCCCTTCCCCACCCCATTTTCTGCCCACCAACCCTATCAGCATTATGTGGATACTGACCACACCACATCCTCATTAGGCTGCTTTTGAGGTCCAACCTTAAAAGGGTTTTTAAACAGATGTTTTGCGCTTTTGCATACCCTGTCTTGTCCCTGGAGGGCGCCATCTGGCTACATAAGACTGACACTCAGAACCGAAATTGCTATTTGTTTACATCAGGGATGAGCAGCGTCTGGCCCTCACAATGCTTTGGCTTATGACTCCATCATCCCTTATCATTGACTATGCTGGCTAGTAATGGTGGGAATCATGGGCCAAAACATCAGGAAAGCCACAAGCTGCCCAGTCCTGGTGTACACGATGATACTAAACCTCCATCATCTCCTGCCAAAATATTTTAAATACTTGTTGATGAAGACACACTGTCTAGTGAAGTGTAACTCATGTGATTAACACCCTTTCAAGGCTAGCTAAACCTTTTGCCATGCACCACTTGAAGCAACAAATGAGCAATTAAAAGCACCCATAATATAGAAGGGGGAGTTATGCTTGCTTTCCACTGTATGCTTTTCAATTCAATGGTAGCATCAAACAGGTATCAGGTCTGGATAACCTGCATGTTTGACCACTTGTCTTCAAGTGTGGTGTAACTATTACAGGGAAGAAATGGACTTGGAATTTCTCTACACTGAAGTGCAATTCATGTTTTCTCTTTGCCCCACCCACCCGCCAAGGCTGGGCTCTGCAAACAAGGAGGACTATAGGAAATCTCTCCCCCTTCCATTCCCACATGTACGCAACACGGCACTTCTCTGCCTGTCATAATTTTGCAGGGGCAGAGCAGGGCTGTTAATAAGCAACATGTGCTGTACGGCTTAGATGTAAATATAGCCTCTGTCTAATCTTTGTTTGGGGTCAGGGAACTTGTGTTTGGTACCTAACATTAAAGTTTAGTTTGCTGCCAATTCATTCCAGTGTCCTGTGTATCCAACGGGTGGGAGAAACTGGGGGTGAAAGAACTGACCACCTCCTGCCAAAATGAGCATCTCAAGCACACAACTTCCAGTTACCCCACCATAATCCAGCTGTACTTATAACTCCCCTTATGTTTGTTCCAGTTTCTGCTTTTACCTTCCCTACATTCGACATGGACAGGGTTGGAGTTGCCTATTTTCACTTCTTACATAGCCTCTCTCAAGAGGGAAATACAAAACTGATGCATTCACTCCCTGGACACAAGTATTAAGCTGCTTTATAGTTCATTATGTACATATGGTGTACTTTATTTTCAGTAGAGTATTACATAGTATGACAGTGTTGGATTTTGTACAGATGTCCCTGTAATGTACAGAACTAAATAAAATGGATCTCTTGAAAAGATGACATGACGGACTCCACCTGATGGCCATGTTTAGCTCATAAGCCCATGTGTCACAAGGAAAGTGGGGACAGAGAGCAAGGCTAATAGGGCTACTATATACATGCCCGGGGCCATTTCACAGGGAAGGATTATTTCTTCAAGAGACTTTTCACCAAGAGGAGGAGAACCTTGATGGTGTGGGCTACACCTACCACCACAAGTGCTCAGTAGCTACGATCAGGTATTACAAACATCTAATGAAAGAGGCCAAATCACAAAATGAACACAGAGCATCTGTGCTGATGAAAGATAATATATGCCTGACCATGTCAGAGGAGGTTAGTTTAAAGTGCAGCACTTTTTGCTTAGCCATTTCCTTGGTGAATGGAGAATTTATTGGCTCTTCGATCTTCACTTCCATTCAGGCTTGGAGCCACTCTGTCTGGCTTGCAGCGTTCGCTGCACCATATCCTTCCATTGGTCATCAGAAATCTCATTAGCCCATGCAGGGATACCCAGTGTTGGGAGCTTGATCCCAGCCATAGTCCTTTTCACCAGCTCCACATGTTCTAGAGTCAGCAAAAGACAACATGTGAGAAACACTGCACCAAAACAAAAGAAAAAAGCATAGTTCCTTTCCAGGGGCTTCCACATTTATACAGTGATGAAAGCAAAAGAGACATTGAAGGGTAGGATACAAAAATTGTAAATAAGTAAAAAGTGGGACAGCAAGTAACCCAGAGTAAAGGTCTGGTTTGCTGAAAAAGTGTGTGGAAATTACATTAATGAATCATGTTAAGTTTGTGCTAGGAAATGGACATCCAAAGGAGAGATCCACACAGCTGTTATGAAACCCAGATGAGCAGCAATCCTAAATTATAAGAATACCGGAAGCTTTTACATACTAGTTAGTGGTCTGAAAATACTGTAGCCGTTTGGAAGAAAAGGAAGAAAGAAATGGTATGACAACTAATGGGATCCAGAGGGCACAGAGTGCTGGACTTGGGCAAGCAGAAGCCAACCTGAGACCCCACCCAATTCAAGCCCTGATTTGCTACCCTTTCAATCTAAGTGCAATAACCTCTGATTTAATCAGGTTGTTGGATAGGAATGGACTAAGTTTCGCAAAAGAGATCTGAAAAGGATATAGCAAAACTAGATAAGTACAGAGTTGGAATGGAGAAACCTGTACACAGCTGGAATGTGTCTGGCAATGACCTCATTCAAATCTATGGTGCAGACACTTTTACACAGTTCTGGTCACTGCACTTAAAACAGGATATTTTACAGGGCAGAAAAAGTGCAGAAAGGGTACCTAAAGTGATCAAGAGACTGCAGCAGCTCTCGTCAGGAAAAGTTACAACAGTTCGGTTTAGAGGGCAAGAAACTGAAGACATGGTTGAGGTATACAAAATAACACACACTGTGAAGAAAGTAGATAGGGAGACATTTTTCTTCCTCTCTTGTAATATTAGAAGTCAATGAGTTCATCCCATGACACTGATTGGCAGGAGATTTGGGACAGATAAAAGGAAATACTTCTTCGCACAGTACTGGGAATCCATTTGGGGATGGGAAATGTGCGGGATTCCCTGGGCTTTGCTCCCCGTACTCCAGTCCACCTGAGTTCCTGGTGAGTGCTCCCAGGACATGTGACAGAACTCGAACCCCATTTGTTGTGCCAGCAGCACCCTTCTCTTGCATTCGGTACCACCACTGCCAGCTGCACTGGGCATGGAAGCTTGGTTGCTGTGGTTGTCAGGAACGGCACCTGGCATGATGCCAGCAGCACCCCTCTTCTGCACTCGGTGCCACCACTGGTGGCAGAAAGGACGGGGTTTGCCAGGAATTGTGCCTGGCATGACTGTTAATACCCCTCTTCCATGTCCTGCAACTGCACCTGATGGGAGAGGTTGCCAGTTGCGCAACTGGGGATCTGCAAGCATTTGAGGACTTCTTCTTGACTCAGTTTACTTTGCAGGACCAGGGTGAACACAGGAGGAAGTCCATAGATACAAGGACAGATTCAAAAAGGGCTCATCCCAGCCCTGCACAGCACATAATTAAACTATGGGATTCATTTCCATGAGATGGAGCAACGGCCATCAGTTTGGACAGTTTTAAAAGGGATTGGACAAATTCATGGAGGAAAAGGCTATCAAAGGCTACTAGTCTTGATGGCTCTTAGCTACCTCCATCCGGTATCATTGGTAGAATGTCTGTGGGCACCAGCTGCTGGAGAACTCAGCCAGGAGGGTGTTGTTGCAGTCATGTCCTGCTTGTGGGTTTTCCATGGGCAGCTGCTTTGCCACTGTGAACAGGACACTGGGCTAGGTGGCCCTTTCATCTGATCCAGCGTGGCTCTCATGGGTTCTTCATGTCAGCGGGACTGGGTATTTGCACTGAATTCTCAGGCTGATTATTTCCATGGCAGACTACAGACACACACAAAGACTTTTTAAAAAAGCTTTGTTCTCTTACCGGGATCCATAGGAATGCAGGTGCGACTGGTTTGAGCTGCAGATGCCTCCTCCTCATCACTGTCCACAGGTGGGTCTGGTAGGTGCAGTCTCATTGCCTATGGGCAGTGCACAAGGCCATGGCAAGTGTTACGTACAAGGCAAAGGCAAGCTTCCCGTGAGATTTTTTCTGTAGCCCCACCTCCTATGGAACCCCCAGGATGCATCCTTGTAACAAAACAGCTACCTGAAGTCGCTCGTGGATATCAAGGGCTGGCTCTGTGCTAGGCCCCGTTTCTTCAACAGCTCCTGGTCCCTGGTCTGGATCTTGGTTCAGCGGTTGGTACAAGTAGCCATTACTACTGCCCTCCTCCTCCTCCTCCTCAGGTTCTTCACTGCTCCACTCCCCAGCAGGGTCAGGGGTTCCGTCAGATGTCTCCTGAAGCCCCAGCTCTTCATGTTCGTTTGGACAAATCCGCTCTGGGCCCATTCTCTGTACAAGCACTGGCTCCAAGGCCATGCACCAGGATCTTTGGGGAAAAGATACACCTCATGTTCAAGAAACAACTGGGGAAACACAAACACTTGCAAGCAGATAAGAGCACTATTTGGTGATTTAAAATGGCTTTATGCTTTCCTAGGCAAATGTTTTTAGATTATGTTATCATACTGCATTTTTACGGCTTTAATCTTTGAATGCTGCCTAGAGGACTCTAGCTGTTGGGCAGTAGTACAGAAATGTAATAGAATTATTGAAATATTCAGATGAATGATCTGGACTGCAACTTCCATCAACCCCAGCTAGCATGACTAATGTTTAAAAGTTATGGGGAATTGTAATCCAAAACATCTGCAGGGCACCAGGTTCCTGACCCTTGACCCATTATACTTTCCATAATGCTGTGCCAGCACATCAGACACCCATGAGCTAAATGTTACATGGAGCAAGAGGATTAATTAATAAACGTTTTTATAGACTATTCTTACAGTACATGCTCTCAAAACAGTTTACAATCATTTAAAGCAACATAGCACATAATTTCAGTAGCATCTCTATAATAATCACAAAAATACCCAGAAAATAAGCATTAAGCTGATAAGTAATAATTCAAAACATAATAAACACATCACTCAGATACACACATTCCCTTCCCCCAACTCCAGTCCATAACCCAACTACCAATTTGGTAATGTCTCCTTGGATTTTTGTGCAGTTTTCTCAAAGTCTAAACAGTTGAAATACATCTAATTTCTTAGTTACCAGCAGTAAACTATAACTTCTGTATTTTTGGCTCCATCCCTTGCCACTGGACCTGTCCACCACTTGTATGCAGTTCCCAAGACATTTTCCAAAATTGAATTTGACTCTCAAGCTGAAAACGACTCCCCATGCCTATATTAAACTAAACGTTCATGCTATCCATAGAACCAAAAGTAGTTATTGAAACGACTAGAAACAGTGAGCATTGTGCTATCAGATGCGATATAAACGGAAGTGGAAAACTGCTGAAGCTTAAGGAAGAGGAAGCTTTCTTAAAATGGTAAATGAAGTTGAAAGGGGGAGAGAAGAAGATTAAATCCTTTCAAAATTTTGGCGTTTACTCAAGATCACATTAATATAAGCTCAGCTAGTATGCATACCACAGGTTAGGAAAGGTATTTATTTATTAATTAATTAAAACATTTCTATGCCGCCCCTTGCCGAAAATCCAAGTGGTTACCAGAATGGATAATGAGCAATGTCAAGGAAGAAGCTCTTAAAGAAAAGAAGGCTTCCTTCAGAGCATATAAGCAGACAATAAGAGATGCAAAACAGCCTTTGAGGAGTGTATCACTACAAGCAACAAGGTCAGTAATAAAGATTTAAATACATCAGAGGCAGGAAACCAGCTTGGGAGGCAGTTGGACTGTTGGATGATAATCAAGTTAAAGGAGCACTAAACAAATATAAGGAGATTGTCGAGAAATTAAATGAATAATTTTCATTTGTCTTCTACTGCAGTAGATACAGCACATATATCAGTGTCTGGACTGATGTTTTCAGGAAGAGTTTGTGGAAATCAATGGTGGTAAAAGATGGGAGTTCTCAACCTTACTGACAAACTGTTAAGGTAATATACTCGTATCATCAAGCCCAGATGATAGGCACCCTAGAAATCTTACAGAACTCAAATATGAGACTGCTGATCTTCTAATAAAAATATGTAATATCATCCTAAGAACAGCCCCTGTACCAGAGGACTGGATAATGGACTAATGTAGTACCATTTTTAAAAGGAATCTGAGGGGACCAGGAAAACTACAGGCCAGTTATCTTAACATCTGTTCCAGGTGAATTATTTAAGGACAAGCCCTGCTGAAAAGGAATCAATATGGCTTTGGCAAAGGTAAGTCCTGTCTCACCAAACTTTTAGAGTGTCAACACTGGATAAGTGATGCAGCAAAAACTGTTTACTTGGGCTTCAAAATGGCATTTGACAAAGTCCCTCACCAAAGCCTCCTGAGCAATGCTGGCAGTCTTCTTATGGATTAGTAAGAATAGAAAGCTGAGAGTAAGACTACATGGCCAAGTTTCCTCATACAGGGATGGACACAGTGGGGTCCCATGTGTTTTGGTATTCGGGCCAATGCTTTTCAACTTATTTATAAAAATATGGAAATCAGGAGGGAGAAGTGCCCAAGTTTGCTGATAACACCAAACTAGGGTGGTTAAAACAAAAAAGGAGGGTTGTGTGGAGCTCCAAAAGGACCTTCCAAACTGGAAGAATGTGCATCAAAATGGTTTAGATTTTGAAATCACAATAAAAATAATTATAATAAAACTGGCAAATTGAGATTCAGTGTACGAAATTGTAATTCGTGCAGCAACAAAAAGATCCCCACTTCAAATGTAAGATGATGGGATCTGAGCAAGTGGTAACTAACTAGGCATGTTAGGCATGATTAGGAAAACATTTCAAAACTGCCGATATACAGCCATTCTATAAAGTGATGGTGTAGCTACAGTTAGAATACTATGTACAGTTCTCATTACTGCACCTAAAACAGAATATCATAAAGTTGGGGAAATGTGCAGAAAAGGGACACTAAAATGATCAAGGGGCTGGAGCAACTCCCCTGAAAGGAAAGGTTACAACAGCTGAAATTGGTTAGCTCAGAGGGAAAAAAGGTAAGAAAGAGGAGTTGTGATAGAGGTGTACAAAACTATGCATTGTGGAGAGAAAGTGGACAAAGAACCTTGCCAAGTCCCTTGTATTATGTTTTTTTGTTTACTGGTTATTAATATTGTTTATTCTGTTTTATCGTACATGGCCCAGAGATTCCTATAGGCTATGGAGCAGTTTATAAATACAATAAATCCATAAGAAAGACATGAGTACAACAGCAGCCTTCCTCTTATGTATTTATACTAAGTTTCTACTCAAATAGTGCTCAAAGCAGTTAACAAAAATGAATACAATTAAAGTTTTACATAATTAAAACAGCCACATCGATTAAAATCTTTCAGCTAAAAAGAGATAAAAAGAAATAATACCTTCCAATTAAAAGCCTAATTCAGCAAACTGCACAGCTTAAAAAAAGCTTGTTTGAATAAAAGTAGCTTTGTCTGCCAGCAAAAGGATAATATAGATGAAGCTAGTCTTGTCTCCTTTGGTTGGAGGCCCAGAGCCTGGAAATGGGTACCAAGGTTTATCTAGTCCAGCGTTATGTTCCCGGGGGCGGGGGGGAGGCAGCTTTCCAAATACTTTCCAAAAGCAATCCCCATCTAGTGCATGTTGCTGTTACGACTACTAAAGTAGCCTTTAACTAAGGTAAATGTAACTGGGGAACTGGGGCCAGAGCTGACATCTCCAGGAAGACGCGCAGCTGGAACACTAGTCAGCTATACCAAAGCATTACTGGCCACCACAAAGCCAGGACCTTATCCAAACCGTGCATAATTCTATTCGCCTCTATCATGCTCGCCTCTTTCCTAAACGAAATAGTCCCAATAGCTACAACCTTACAGGGTCGCAAACTGCAACAATGTGCGGGCGTGTCCATAAGATAGAGCGCGCGCCCGCGCGCACAGACTTCAAGCCATTTACTACGCTCCAGGCGTTCAAAATTTCATTATCCTTCCGCACAACAAAGACCTCCATTTCCTACATCACTCGTTATGAGACGACCTGAAACCGAATACACCCGCAAACCAACGCCGCCGCCCTAACCCCAACCTGGTGCCCCCCTCTGACCTCACCTAGACGATTTCCGCCTTCTCGCTCTAACGCCAAACAAGCCTCTCGCTCTCTTAGCTTAACCTCCGGAAGCAACAAAGCGTTCTTGGCCACTGAGAATGTCGTCATAGCCGGGCGCGGTGGAAGGAACCGTAACTATGACAACTCCCACCCGAGTTTGAAGGATCTATTTGCAGCATCGTGCGCTGCGGTCGTTGCTCTCCACCACGCACACACAGATGTAAATACTTACCGTACATGCGTTCGCTTAAAGTCTTGCTCTTCTTTGCGTTGAAGTAAGACTCGGTTTCTGATTCATATAAGGATCACAAATACGCGTTAGAGCCTCCCGCTCAGCACCATACAAATGTTTGATTATATGAGATCTCATTCAAAGGACTGATTGGCCTTTGAATTCGCCACTGGCAATTCATTGGCCCTTTTGACTTGCATTGACGAAAATTCATAGCGCTCATGCAGCGAAATAATTTGTTGGCTTCAAAGCAGTGAGGAAGAAATGGGCTGTAGCTTCCACTGGTCTGTTTTAGGTCACCTAATGAATAGAGAAAAATCAGGAAAAAATACTTTATGCAGGCATAAATATTGGATTTTACTGCAAAACGTAAAGGTGGTTCCTAATTGTATGGGGTGTGGACAAATTCATGGAGGATAAGACTATTGATAGCTACTAGTCATGAAATTTCCAGTATAAGGGACAGTACCTGTATTTAAAGTTCTGAGTGGGGTAGTGCTATTGCTCTCATTTGGCCTTCCTAGAACCATTTTGGTAACACAGTGTTGGACCAGATAGACCCTTGGTCTGATCCAGCATGTCTCTTCATATGTTCCTATGACTGGTACTCTGCTCATCCCTCACCTTTGCCAGGATGGCTGGAACTTTTGGGAATTGCAGTCCATCCCCACACATTCCCCACTACAGTTTAAAAGGCATCAGAGATGCTCTTTATTGCTGATGAGCTTCCTATTTTAGCTGCCTGCCTAAGACTGCAAAACCTGGGCAGGTTGTCAAGCACTGTGTTGGGCCATAATAAATGGTGAGAGGACTATGATCAGTTGGGTAGACCACATATTGATATGCTCCCACTGTCCCTAATTTACTTATATATATACATTAGAAGTAGTGCTTTTTTTGTTTTCTTTTTACTAGGAAACACTCCTTTTTTGCCCATTGGGGAGGTTCTGGAGATGCATTTTTTAAACGGAAAAGGGGTTTTGGCACCTTATAAAGGCCAGCATATTTATTATGGCATAAGCTTTCCTGGACCATAGCCGACTTCATAAGACACCACTTTTTAAAATGGTGTCAGCGCGCACAGATGTATGATTAATGACGACGATGGGGATGCATTTATTCGGTTTATAGGCTGCCCTGCCTTGCAAAGGAACCCAGGGTCGCTGCACCCGCCTCTTTTGTATGTGGCTCAAGAAAAGACTACATTTCCCAGGCTCCCTCGGTGGGCGGGGCCCGTCCGTTACGGTTGCGCGCCGAAGCAGGGCTGCGCCCGGGCCTGGATAGGTGCGAGGAAAGAAGAGGCTGCAGGCGCCTGAGGCAAAAAGTGGGACTTTGCTGGGCCGGCCGACCTGGAGAGCGGGCGTGCCCCGTCGGGGCCGCGGGACGGCCCCGCTTCCCTCTCCCCCAGGCGTGTAATGTTGCTGAGGTGGCAGAGCGAGGTCGGACTCCTTCCGAAGCGCCCCTGCTGAGGGACGAAGCAGGTGGGCAAGACCGTGTTGGCGGCGCTGTCCGTTGGAGGTTTGAAAGCTCCCGTGTAGGCTCTGGGCTGCTGGTCAACGTCAGTTACCGAGGTGGTTGGTGGGGGAGACCTCCGTGAGTGGAAAGGCATGAGGAAGCTTATTGTGACGGAGTAGGCTCCGTTCGTGAGCCGTGAGGAGCCCAGGCTGGGGGCTTGAAGGAGGTGGGTTTCTTTCTCTGTGCCTTCCTTAACGGTGGGAAAGCTGAGCTGAAATGCGAATTAGCATCATCTGTTCTGTGTGCAGGGCTGGCCCAAAACATTTCTTTGCCTGAGGTGGCATCCAAATGGCGATCCCCTTCCCTCACCTTCCTGAATGTGGAGTACCCAAGGCAGCTTACTTTTGGTACCTAAGGCAAGAAATCTCACGAACCCCTCTTTCTGACTACAGCTATAATAACTAATAGTTTGCTGCCCTTTCCTACTTTCTTAAATCAGAAGCTCACTCTGCATAATAGGTTAACCTTAAATGGTGTGCTTGCTCATCCTAAACTGGTGATCTCTTCCCTAGGCTGATGGATTAAGTTGCTTCAAGGCATGTTAAACTAAGTAAATTTTGAAAGTGCCTTTTAGAGACTGAGCATTCATTGAGGAGATATGCTAGACATCCCTAAACTGTTATTCTGCACATGGTTTGGTAAGCTATCATTATTGACCATATTGCCTCGTCCTGATAGGAGTTGTAGTCCAAAACTACTGGAGGACACCAGGAAGGCTGCACAGTTCTAGAAGGCTTGCTTTTGTAATTTCCCCATTTCTATCAGACCACAAGATAATGCCCTTTTGTCCTGCTTATTAATAACAATAATGCATCATTGGTGGTGAAGGAGCAAAGGCAAAATAGGGAAAGCCTGCTCTAAAAGAACTTAGAATGTGGAATAGACAATTGAGGAAAATAACAGAAAGAGGAGAAAGAGATGGGAGGACTGTGAGGAAAACACAGTTGTATGTTCTTTACTAGTAAATGAGAATTAAAGGGATAGACCAAAGGCTTAATTTGTAATAACTCCATTGCCTTGAGTCAGTTATGATCTAAGAAATGAACACAATCTCTAACTGATAGAAGCCCCGTTTCATGCAATGCTGTATGCCAAATATGCGTCCCCCATTACTCTAATACTACTTTTGCTACATACATAAAAATACCCTTCCCTCTACTTTAATTCCAAGTTAAAGTCTTAATAGTAATTCATTGTTGTAGATTAAAATTTCCATTTCACCTATTTGGTATGTGCCATTATGTCACCTCCAACATGGCAACCCTATGAATGTGTGTTCTCCAAAATGTCCGGTCCTTGGCAGTCCTGCTTAACTTTTATAAACTAAAGGCGGTGGTTCCTTTATGGAATCAATCCATTTCATATTTGTTTTTCCCCTTCTTCTGCCATCTAGTTTCCCTACCACAGAATCAAAGAGTTGGCAAGGGCCATGAAGACCATCGAGTCCATAATTGTCTTTTTCAGTGAGTCTTCTTTCTTATGTGCCTTAAGTACAACAGCCCCAGTTCCATTATTTTTGCTTCCAAGGGAAATTCTAGATTGATTTGATCTAGGATCCACTTGTTCATCTTTCTGTTGGTTCAGAGTATTCTCCAGTTCTATGTTTCAAATGCATCAGTTTTTTTCACTGTTAGCTTTCTTCACAGTCACATGGTAATAGGGAATACAGTAGTATGGATGATCTTGTTCTTGGCCTCCAAAACATCCCAACTTGCTGATATTTTCTAATGCCTTGACTGCCATCTTTCGAAGTCTCAGTCTTTTTCAAATTTCTTGGCAGCAGTTTCTGTTTGATTGAGCCAAGGTATGCAAAATCACAATTTCAATTTCCTTTGTTATTGACAATAAAGTTCTGTATTATTCTGTAGTCATGATTTTGCTAATGTTCAGCTGCAGTCATGCTTTTATACTTTCTTCTTTCACCTTCATCGAACACCATTTCAATTCATAGGTACTTTTTGCAAGTAATATGGTATCACTTACATATCTGCAATTATTTATGCATCTTCCTGCTATCTCTGATCCCAGTTCAGCTTTCCTTATGATATGTTCTGCATATACTGACTGAGAAGACAGGGAGACTAAATACTCCTTTGTCTGTTGCCTTTACCTATAGAAAATCATTCTGTTTCTCTGTATTGTATCCTAATAGTAGCTGCTTGTCCATGATGCAAGTTGTAATGATTTAAGTGTTATGAGTATATTCCTTTAAATGTTGGTAAGTTTCAGTGGGGGTGGGAGTAAAAGAGGTGAGTGAGGTGATTGGTTGGTGCCTGACAGTGTATGGACAGCTTGGAAGTATGTGAAGAGAGAAAAATAGATACTTGAGATCTGTCAGCAGTTAGCATTCATTTGTGGTCAGTCTGCAGATTCTGAAGAGGCAGCCTTCTCATTAGAATCTCAAATAGTGCTGTGAAAATCATTTAGGATTCAAAAGGAAAGGAAGTAGAATACTTAGAGGGCATATTAGCAACTAGGGAGAGTCAAAATCTAATATTGCCAAGTATTATAAGGTAAAATATAGATAGAAGCTGGCGAAAACCTGAGTGCAGAAGGGAAAGATTAAACTGAGATAACTAGAATAAAGTCTGGTCAGAGTTCATCCAGAAGAAAAAGGAGGATCTATGAGTAAGGAATGTTTGTGAACGGAAAGAGTTTTCATTTCTACCTCAGTCAGTTTTACTTCAGTCAGAAGTTATTATACATTGTTTTATTTACAAAGGGAAAAAGTTAGAGAACATTTTGAAACCAATACATACATGTCTCAGTCTCTCATCCTCAGATCCACATAGTCCAACGAAGAAGTCTTATACCTTGGGCACAATATTGAGGGAGAAGTTAATAAGATTGGAAGTAAATTTCTGGTGGCAGCATTACATACTGAGAGAAAGAGGGGGAAATATCAAGAGGTTAGCAAACAAAATATGAGTGTACTTGTCTTATAACCCAGGTTATGTATCAGGGTAGCGAAGTGCTAAGGCACACCATTTTTTTAAATAAGTTTTATTTTAAATAACCCTAATACAAAGAAAAACTAAAAACAACATCAGTCATCAGAAACATCGGACCTGCTGGGTCAGCCCCCACATTTTTTCTATTTATGTTAACTTAAAAACATATTTGAATCTATACAAAGTCCCGTTTCTCTAGCCAATAATAAAAAGAGTCCCAAGTTTGATAGAAATCAGTATCTTCTTTCTCCTTCAATGACAAAGTCAATCTGTCCATTTCTGCACAGTCCAAGATCTTTTTTTAGGATCAGTTCATCAGTGGGTGGTTCTTCACTTTTCCAGTGTTGGGCAAATGCAATCCTCGCCGCAGTAATTACATGTAAAATCAAGTACATTTCTTGTTTACTAATATCAACAGGTATAATGCCTAATAAGGAAACTTCAGGTTTAAAACTTAAGGATTTTTGTAGCATTTCCTCAAGCCATTTATATATTTTAATCCAATACTTTTTCGCTTTATCGCAAGTCCACCACATATGATAGAAGGTACCCAATTTATATTTACATTTCCAACATCCATTTGACATATTTGGAAACATCTTGGCTAGTCTATTTGGCGACAAACACCATCTATAAAACATTTTATACAAGTTTTCTTTATATGAAGTTGCTAATGTTATCTTAATATTTCTCTCCCACAGCTTTTGCCATTTTTCTAATTCAGTATTATATCCAAAGTTTTGTGCCCACGTTATCATAGTTTCCTTAACCTGTTCATCTTCCATTCTCCTATCTAGTAAGAAATTATATAGTCTTTTAATCATTTTCTCATCTGATTTAAACATCACCTGATCGAATGCTGTTAAATCTTTATAAAAGCCCCACATTCTATAGTCTTTAGCATATCTCGATTGTATCTGCACCTTATGCCACCAAGAAATATTAGATCCTTGTTCTTGTATTTCTTGATTCAATTTCAATCCCCCATCATTATCCAAAATGTCATCATATCTTACAATCGCTTCAAAGTTCAATGCATTTGGATATACAAGAGCTTCCATAGGTGAAAGCCATCTTGGTAATTTTTTATACAATTTTGTCTTTAACTTTTCCCACACCAACATTAATGATTTCCTAATATAATGACTTAAAAAAGAGCCATGTACCTTACCCTTTTCATGTCACATATAAGCGTGCCAACCCATTTGCAAATCATGCCCTTCGAGATACAAGATTCTCTTATTTCTTAAAGTTATCCATTCTTTTAGCCACATTAAAACAGAAGCTTGATAATACAGCATCCAATTAGGGAGACCAAAGTCCCCATTCTCTTTAGCCCCCTGAAGTATTTTTAGTTTAATCCTTGGTTTCTTCTTTCTCCATATAAATCTCAAGATTTGAAAATTTAAATCATCAAAAAATTTTCTATCAATTTTTATGGGAAACATTTGGAATAGAAACAAAAGCTTTGGTAATATATTCATTTTAGCTAGTGCTATTCTTCCCAGCAAGGATAATAGGCACACCATTTTTCAGGACCCTCTATAGCTTCTCATGATACACTCTCATGATACACAGTCAAAAGCTTTGTTGTAATTTGAAATCTACTTGTACTTCAGTGACCAACATAAATTTGCTGTATGATCTTGAGTGCCTCTTCCTTTTTGGAATTCAGCTTGAACATCATGGATTTCTTGCTCCATACAGAGTAAAATTCTTAGTTGCAACTCCTTGATCATCATTTATTTGCTTGGAAAATTAGTGCAGTGGTCCTATAGTTGCTGCACTTCATATCCAAATCTATGAAGAAATACATCATTTCTTTTGGGATTAAAGTGTCCAAAAATGTTATACATTCTTCAGACAAAACTGAGGACAGCAAATCCTAATGAAGGCAACTGAAAGTCAAGAGCCAGTATGTTCTAGGATGTATTTGCCCCAAGCAACTATGGTTTGTCTCATACATGCTTCTTCATCTCTTGGTGGTTGCATCATCTGGTGTGTTGAATGACTGA